TTATTTTTGATTGTGATATTGCTGACACCTAAAAAGGATAAATCCACTAAGTCGCTGACTATCAACGTGGTGTCAGTTTTGCCGTAAGAAACAAGTCTAATAGGCAAAATTTAGCGGGTCAGTTGACCACCAACCCGCTAAACAATTATTCTGACTTATCTGTCAAGTGTATACCCATTCTGTCAGCAAGACGGTCGCCAAAGTCGCCATTATTCTTATTAGCATATTCAAGAACATTGACGTACATAGGTGGACAAGAATCCATATCAATTTTCTTTGTATCATCCATCTTTGCCATATAATCGCCCGTACGCTCGCCAAGAACGGAGTCGCCACGCAAAGCAGAAGCGACTTCATCCTTAATTGACTGATACAGTTCCGAAGTTCCAACGACCTCAGACTTTTTATGAATGAATCTTACAAACATAATTAGAAATCGGTGCGGATAGTTGAAGGCAACTGACGTGTAACAGTACCACTAAAGCGCATAGTAGCAATAATAGGGTCGTAGTCAGGATTTGTATCCTGAAATACCTTGTTGACCTCATCATCATCTGTTATATACAGTTCCTTGATAGTAGACGGACTGATAGTAAACTGAGTAGACGGGAATCGGTCTGAACGATACATCTTGTTTGAAGTACGCATATTGCCGTGCACCTCATTATTGACGCTCATATATTCACGGTACTTTTCCTCATAGCCGAAACGTTCAGAACGCTGATTTACGTCAGGGGAATATTCGTCAAGGAAAATATCCTGATAGCCGACACCGCCGAGCGTAGGGATAAGATAGTCGTAATAGTTAGACTTAAGAATGTCGCGAGGGATAGCACGAGCGTTGCAAACGTGCGCAGGACGAATCCAAGCCATAACCATAAACAAACCGTTTTCCTCAGCAGTCCAATCCCAACCGCCTGTGTTATCACGAGAAACGCCGACACCTGCAAACTGACCTAACTGAGAATCAGGCGTATTTGATGAAGTCTGAGCAACGTCGCCGATAGTTACAGAGAACTCACGGAATCCAACGACCTGGGAGCGCTGGAGAGTAGCGTCAGAAACCTTTGAGCCATAGAGCGCCGCAGTATTGTCGCGGTAGTCGTAACCCATACGTGTTATCAAATCCTTGAACTTTGCCAACTGCCTATTAAAGAAGTTCTGTTCAACAGTAGCGCCGACAGGTGTCTCGCCAAGTTCTGCCATTACTTTCTGATAACGAGCGTCAGTAAATCTATCCTTTTCCCAAAGAACAGGCATAAGTTCACCGCGCTGGAGGTATGGAGCGAAGAACGAAAGGGATGGAGTCTGATAAAGGCGATGATTAAGTGTTGTACTGTCAACAGGAGAACCAGCGCTGAAAAGCATACTAAACGGCAACTGTTCTGGATTAGCAGAATTAATGTTGTATGCGTGATTGAGATAAGCACAACCAATCATATCAAGAAAATCGTCGTGCTTAGTAAAGTTTTCATTGAGGAACCAATCCGCGTAAATACGCATATAAGCGAGGTAACGGATACAGTTAGCGGTAAAATCGCCCTTAAGCGAGAGAACGAAGAAATTTCTGACATAATTAAGATACGAGTCCATTACAGAGGTTATCGTAGTCTTACCAAAAACGTCAGACCACTCAGGAAGTCCACTGATATTTTCGCCGAATATATCACGGTCAACAACCATCATAGCAGTCTTAAAAACATCAGAACCATTATTGACATAATCAATAAAGTCAGGGACATCCGCAAGACCCGATATTTTAGAATGCGTACCGAAAACAGTAGCAATATAATAATCGGCAGGGACGAGAATACCATCACGAGACTGAGAGCCGACAAAAGAATCAGCAGCCGTCTTGACAACCTGTCCAGTCTGAATGTCAAGAGTATAGATATGAGAATTAAGGTTGATAACATCCTCAGCGCTTAAATTACGAGATACACCATAAGTCCAATCTTCGCCATCCCAATCAATAGACATTTTATTAAGAGACATCTTTGAATCTTCAGCACCTGTACCAATATAATAACCGAGATGGTCAAGGATTGAAGACTCGAGTTTATTATCGCCCATAATTTTTAACTGAGCCATAGCCGGAAAAACACGATTGGAATCGTCAGAAGCAGGGTTAAAGAAGTGCCTGGCATCAAGGATATATTTAGCCTTGTTCTTAGCGTTGTTGCTATTACCCATAAACTTCTTGAACCATTCCGAATTGAAAAAGCCGTCAAACGAATGATATGGAACGAAGAACGCACCATAAGTAACTTTGTAATTGTTCATTACAGGAACCTGCAAAGCCGCGAAACGTGTAAGTTGGTCAACATCCAGTTTGATACGGTTACCCTGCATCATTTCGTTAACGTAAAGAGGTGTAAGCCTTCCGATTTTCATAGACGTGCTATGTGTCTTATCAGCAGGGAAAAGAGAGATAGGTATATTTTCGTGTTTGTTAAGCCTATCAAAAGGATTATTAAGTTTCATACAATAATTTTGTGATTTCAAAGATTTGTTCAGATAGAACCTGTATCCACTCGTAAAGCCGTGTCTGCTCCTGGACTATCGTAATGTAATCAACATATTCACGAAAAGACAGGTATATGACACAGGCTATAAGAGTGATAAAGGCTGACAGTCTAAGACTCCTCGCCGTCGTCGCAGATATCTTTAACTTTGGAGACGATGTCAAGAAGAATTGAGATAATGACAGGAAAGAGAGTGAAGAAATTTACCTTTTTCGCCATAGCAATTAGAATAAGTGATTAATAGTGATTGTTTAAAAAGCCATATTCATAGCCATTGAAGTACGCAAAGATACGATAAATACCGTCAGCAAAAAGACAAGTTACCAGATTTTCATCTACAATTGTCTTATAACCAAATGTTTCAGGAATTTCAAGACAATAATGATACCACTTGTTTGACTTATGATATATCCTGTTCAACTCTGTCTTAATCCCATAACGTAGGTTGAAAATCGCCTGAATGTACTTGCATATCTGATATTTCTGACGAATGTCGCAATTTTCGTGTATCGTCAATAACACGTATGCGCCATTGGGAAATAATATGGTCAAGTACGGCCACTCCGAATTTACGGGCAACGGATTTTTCCGAAAAGTCAAGCGATAATCCATCAAGTCTGTCATCGCTAAATTCGTCTCTAACGGGTGGCGTGTCCATTCCTGAGTAACATAACGGAGTTGTCTGTTGGCGAAATCGCGCGTTAATGTCTCCTTTGTAGATACCATAATCTGAGTCTAATTTGAAGTTGAACAAGTCTGGATAACGAACAGGTTCACTATGTAATTGAGAACGGTATGTATCATCGTTAGTATTGACGAGATTGATACATCTTTGAAGATAATTACCATAAGCCTTAATGAATTTAGTGCGATAATATTTAGGAATAGGACAGAAATAAGTAAAGTCGCCACGCTGATTGTTAGGCATAATAGGCTCAATTTCCTCGCGACCTATCAATTCCTTATTTTTGTAGAGCCATTGAGTTCCAAGACCAAGAGACTGACGATGAAACGGACACTTATCGTGCTCCTCATCCGCCTGGCACTTACAAACATACTTAGTTACATATCGTGCCGCCTCAGCGTTACATTCCTGTACTTTTTCAACGAATCCGATTTTGTATTTGTCCGAAAGGAGCGTGGACAATTCTGCCTCAAAGTACGTCTGTAAACGCGGCTTTCTTCTCTTCTTCTTCGGCGAGGTATTAACGAGGTACGGTCTGACAGACAAATCAGTTCGCCACGATAGGAAGGAATTGAGTAAAACCTGTACTTCTGATTTAGGCTGAGTGAAAAAGAGGATAACGTGAAAGTGAAGACGACCAAAGTCGCTACCATATTCAGCGCAACAGTAGTAACGGAATTTAAGACCGAATTTGCGGAGTTTTTTGAAGAACTTTTGAACATAAGGATAGTAAGTATTTTTAGCAAGGTTAGTAGTCATACAATCCAGTTCTTCGCCTGTATCGTGATTTACAAAGATTGGATAGTGTTGAGGATTGATAGTAAGAGTGATGAACAATGACCACTCTGAGGCGTCTTTTTCCGCCATAATACGAGTGTTCCACTCATTTTGTTTACGGAGACAACATTGAATACACTTACCACAGGGGACAATGATAGGAATACGTGCGTAACGCTCGCAGATTGTCAATGCTTTCTTCTGTACTTTACGTAGGACACCGTCTGGAGTAGTCTTTATTTTATTCTTAAGATACGTTACATACGTATCCGAGACAGGTATTTTACCTATCAAAACTGTCGGGTTGGTACATTCGTGTAGAGTAGTAAGATACATATCATTACATTACGCGCACACGTACGTAATTCGCACGCGCGCGCGCTTATTACATTTCAAAAAAGGAATCGCGAAGCGTATTGACCAGATGGGAATCAGCAGGCGTAAGTCCTGTAAACTGGATACGCTTAAAATCACTTATCTCGCACCATATTATCAAGACCTCGAGAATGTCGAAGATAGTACGTGAACGGAACAGGACAAAATTGTCGTTATTCCTGACAGAAAAAACACCGTCGTTGAACTCAACGAAATAGAACGGTTTTTTGATTTTTTTTATCATAAGAAACAGTATTTGGTTTAAAAATTTTCTGATGATGGCGATTGAAGTTGGGATAGTCGTTGAATTCATCGTCAAGCAACGGGCACAGAGCACAACGAACTCCGTGCCAGTTTCCTTTACATTTAGAACAAATCATATTAATACTCATCGTGAAAAATAAAATAGTCCTTATTAGGGTTCTTAGCCTTTAACTCATCTAAGAAAATACGTGCTGATGAATATGTCCTAAACTGGTAAAGAGGGACGTTGTTGTAATAAATGTAATACATAATGTTGTTTGTTTTATCTACTACAAAGATACGCATTATATTTGGTATCCGAAATATAATACGCATCTTTTTAATAGGATAATTCTGACAACAGACAGGATTATTTTGATACGACGCCTGGACTTTTATCTGTGCCAATTACCATACTCATCTGACGGGACAGGAGGTTTACGAGCGCCACGAGTATAGGCACGAGGATTGACCTGACCTGACGAATTGACGACAGTAGGACTTCTCTGCCAACTGTAATGCTGATAAGGAAAATCAGGTGCCATAGCATCCATATACGTACCCGTAGGCTGGAAATCATTTACAGGCGACTGAGGAGTAAGACCACCAGCAAGACCACCTGTGCTAAACTGACCATAAGCGTACGCCGCATCACGGACAGCGCCTGAAAGGGTTGATATAGGCTGACAAATAGTGTTGGTATAGGCATTCATAATCATAGCCTTTGCGATTGCCTCTTTCTGATTGATATCAGCATCCTTAACATCTAAATCCTTGACAAGTCCGTCAATTTCAGCCTGCAACTTATCAATTGACAACCCTGTAATCTTAGAAAGATTTTCAGTAGTGATATTAGACTGAGTGAGTTCGTTACTAAGCATATCAAGCCTACTATTGTAAGAATCCATAAAGTAACTGTACTCAGCGTCAGTAAGGAGGCTATTATAATAAGAACTCCTGTCGTGAGCGTTAGCGTCAATACGTGCGGTCTGAGCATTGAACTTCTCTAATGAAAGATAATCATCCATTTGTTCAAACTGTTTACGAAGTACGTCAATACGCGCAGAAACCTCATCGTTCATAAGACCCTGATACTTTTCCTGTAAAAGTTCAGTTCGAATACGGCAACTTTCAAGCACCTCAGAAACATCAGCAGTAACTTTCATATTACGCGACATATGTTTCTTATACTCTGTATCTGCCTGAATGTTAGGTATCATATTATAAAGTTCACTCGCAGAAGCGTAGAGTTGAGAAGTGCGAGCAAGACTCTCAGCCTTACTTAGCTCAAACTCCTGACCAAATACAGATACTTTCTGTTCAGTATTGGTAGCCTCAGCGTTATTGGCTCGTGCCTGGGACTTCTTCTGTTCAATGTCTGCCATAGTCTGACCAACTGACAAAGCACCTGCCAGAGAGTCAGGCGCTTTAGCACCAAGATTTGACAAATTGGCAATCTCCTCAGTAGGCGAATTACCTGCCGAATCAGTTGCAACAGGGTCGTAAGTAGCATCGTTAGATTTAGACCTGCAAGAATACGCCTGAAACGTTGCATAGAGGGACTGTTGTAAACCTCATCGTGTTGACGGTCTGCAAGGAACTCGCGACGATTGCGGTCGTGTATAGCCTGTTCATCTTCTCGCTGTTGTTTACGAGCCTGTTCGTTGTATTTGTTCTGCAAGGCGGTCTGTGCAAGTGCCGTAACTCCACCGATAGCACCTGAGATAGCCGAAGCGCCAAGACCTGGCGTTTTAGGAATGTTTGTATTTTCATCTGCCATATTATTTTTGATTGTGATATTGCTGACACCTAAAAAGGATAAATCCACTAAGTCGCTGACTATCAACGTGGTGTCAGTTTTGCCGTAAGAAACAAGTCTAATAGGCAAAATTTAGCGGGTCAGTTGACCACCAACCCGCTAAACAATTATTCTGACTTATCTGTCAAGTGTATACCCATTCTGTCAGCAAGACGGTCGCCAAAGTCGCCATTATTCTTATTAGCATATTCAAGAACATTGACGTACATAGGTGGACAAGAATCCATATCAATTTTCTTTGTATCATCCATCTTTGCCATATAATCGCCCGTACGCTCGCCAAGAACGGAGTCGCCACGCAAAGCAGAAGCGACTTCATCCTTAATTGACTGATACAGTTCCGAAGTTCCAACGACCTCAGACTTTTTATGAATGAATCTTACAAACATAATTAGAAATCGGTGCGGATAGTTGAAGGCAACTGACGTGTAACAGTACCACTAAAGCGCATAGTAGCAATAATAGGGTCGTAGTCAGGATTTGTATCCTGAAATACCTTGTTGACCTCATCATCATCTGTTATATACAGTTCCTTGATAGTAGACGGACTGATAGTAAACTGAGTAGACGGGAATCGGTCTGAACGATACATCTTGTTTGAAGTACGCATATTGCCGTGCACCTCATTATTGACGCTCATATATTCACGGTACTTTTCCTCATAGCCGAAACGTTCAGAACGCTGATTTACGTCAGGGGAATATTCGTCAAGGAAAATATCCTGATAGCCGACACCGCCGAGCGTAGGGATAAGATAGTCGTAATAGTTAGACTTAAGAATGTCGCGAGGGATAGCACGAGCGTTGCAAACGTGCGCAGGACGAATCCAAGCCATAACCATAAACAAACCGTTTTCCTCAGCAGTCCAATCCCAACCGCCTGTGTTATCACGAGAAACGCCGACACCTGCAAACTGACCTAACTGAGAATCAGGCGTATTTGATGAGTCTGAGCAACGTCGCCGATAGTTACAGAGAACTCACGGAATCCAACGACCTGGGAGCGCTGGAGAGTAGCGTCAGAAACCTTTGAGCCATAGAGCGCCGCATATTGTCGCGGTAGTCGTAACCCATACGTGTTATCAAATCCTTGAACTTTGCCAACTGCCTATTAAAGAAGTTCTGTTCAACAGTAGCGCCGACAGGTGTCTCGCCAAGTTCTGCCATTACTTTCTGATAACGAGCGTCAGTAAATCTATCCTTTTTCCAAAGAACAGGCATAAGTTCACCGCGCTGGAGGTATGGAGCGAAGAACGAAAGGGATGGAGTCTGATAAAGGCGATGATTAAGTGTTGTACTGTCAACAGGAGAACCAGCGCTGAAAAGCATACTAAACGGCAACTGTTCTGGATTAGCAGAATTAATGTTGTATGCGTGATTGAGATAAGCACAACCAATCATATCAAGAAAATCGTCGTGCTTAGTAAAGTTTTCATTGAGGAACCAATCCGCGTAAATACGCATATAAGCGAGGTAACGGATACAGTTAGCGGTAAAATCGCCCTTAAGCGAGAGAACGAAGAAATTTCTGACATAATTAAGATACGAGTCCATTACAGAGGTTATCGTAGTCTTACCAAAAACGTCAGACCACTCAGGAAGTCCACTGATATTTTCGCCGAATATATACACGGTCAACAACCATCATAGCAGTCTTAAAAACATCAGAACCATTATTGACATAATCAATAAAGTCAGGGACATCCGCAAGACCCGATATTTTAGAATGCGTACCGAAAACAGTAGCAATATAATAATCGGCAGGGACGAGAATACCATCACGAGACTGAGAGCCGGACAAAAGAATCAGCAGCCGTCTTGACAACCTGTCCAGTCTGAATGTCAAGAGTATAGATATGAGAATTAAGGTTGATAACATCCTCAGCGCTTAAATTACGAGATACACCATAAGTCCAATCTTCGCCATCCCAATCAATAGACATTTTATTAAGAGACATCTTTGAATCTTCAGCACCTGTACCAATATAATAACCGAGATGGTCAAGGATTGAAGACTCGAGTTTATTATCGCCCATAATTTTTAACTGAGCCATAGCCGGAAAAACACGATTGGAATCGTCAGAAGCAGGGTTAAAGAAGTGCCTGGCATCAAGGATATATTTAGCCTTGTTCTTAGCGTTGTTGCTATTACCCATAAACTTCTTGAACCATTCCGAATTGAAAAAGCCGTCAAACGAATGATATGGAACGAAGAACGCACCATAAGTAACTTTGTAATTGTTCATTACAGGAACCTGCAAAGCCGCGAAACGTGTAAGTTGGTCAACATCCAGTTTGATACGGTTACCCTGCATCATTTCGTTAACGTAAAGAGGTGTAAGCCTTCCGATTTTCATAGACGTGCTATGTGTCTTATCAGCAGGGAAAAGAGAGATAGGTATATTTTCGTGTTTGTTAAGCCTATCAAAAGGATTATTAAGTTTCATACAATAATTTTGTGATTCAAAGATTTGTTCAGATAGAACCTGTATCCACTCGTAAAGCCGTGTCTGCTCCTGGACTATCGTAATGTTAATCAACATATTCACGAAAAGACAGGTATATGACACAGGCTATAAGAGTGATAAAGGCTGACAGTCTAAGACTCCTCGCCGTCGTCGCAGATATCTTTAACTTTGGAGACGATGTCAAGAAGAATTGAGATAATGACAGGAAAGAGAGTGAAGAAATTTACCTTTTTCGCCATAGCAATTAGAATAAGTGATTAATAGTGATTGTTTAAAAAGCCATATTCATAGCCATTGAAGGTACGCAAAGATACGATAAATACCGTCAGCAAAAAGACAAGTTACCAGATTTTCATCTACAATTGTCTTATAACCAAATGTTTCAGGAATTTCAAGACAATAATGATACCACTTGTTTTGACTTATGATATATCCTGTTCAACTCTGTCATAATCCCATAACGTAGGTTGAAAATCGCCTGAATGTACTTGCATATCTGATATTTCTGACGAATGTCGCAATTTTCGTGTATCGTCAATAACACGTATGCGCCATTGGGAAATAATATGGTCAAGTCCGGCCACTCCGAATTTACGGGCAACGGATTTTCCGAAAAGTCAAGCGATAATCCATCAAGTCTGTCATCGCTAAATTCGTCTCTAACGGGTGGCGTGTCCATTCCTGAGTAACATAACGGAGTTGTCTGTTGGCGAAATCGCGCGTTAATGTCTCCTTTGTAGATACCATAATCTGAGTCTAATTTGAAGTTGAACAAGTCTGGATAACGAACAGGTTCACTATGTAATTGAGAACGGTATGTATCATCGTTAGTATTGACGAGATTGATACATCTTTGAAGATAATTACCATAAGCCTTAATGAATTTAGTGCGATAATATTTAGGAATAGGACAGAAATAAGTAAAGTCGCCACGCTGATTGTTAGGCATAATAGGCTCAATTTCCTCGCGACCTATCAATTCCTTATTTTTGTAGAGCCATTGAGTTCCAAGACCAAGAGACTGACGATGAAACGGACACTTATCGTGCTCCTCATCCGCCTGGCACTTACAAACATACTTAGTTACATATCGTGCCGCCTCAGCGTTACATTCCTGTACTTTTTCAACGAATCCGATTTTGTATTTGTCCGAAAGGAGCGTGGACAATTCTGCCTCAAAGTACGTCTGTAAACGCGGCTTTCTTCTCTTCTTCTTCGGCGAGGTATTAACGAGGTACGGTCTGACAGACAAATCAGTTCGCCACGATAGAAGGAATTGAGTAAAACCTGTACTTCTGATTTAGGCTGAGTGAAAAGAGGATAACGTGAAAGTGAAGACGACCAAAGTCGCTACCATATTCAGCGCAACAGTAGTAACGGAATTTAAGACCGAATTTGCGGAGTTTTTTGAAGAACTTTTGAACATAAGGATAGTAAGTATTTTTAGCAAGGTTAGTAGTCATACAATCCAGTTCTTCGCCTGTATCGTT